AAGAAAGTCGACCAGTATTTTGGATTTCTTAGTACCTGTCAGGGTAGCAAATTGGATTTAGATCCGGGGGCATTAGCACCCTTCAACCATTTTCGCGTTAATCAGGGCCCAGCAAACATTTTCTATAACATTAGTTATAATTCGACTTTGTTAAAGACGAATTTACTTATTGAGGTAATTATTACGTAAAATTGACTAGGAAAATATACCTCTAATGTAAATATACCAAACGGTTTTAATTTATATTTAAATTTACGTAAATTATACCAAGAAATCTACCTTTTACACAAATCTGCTTAAAAGTAACTTTAACCATATCAGCAAGGGAAAAACTACTAAAAAAAAATAACCAACAATTACTTCAAAGTTAAATTTCCTTTGTAGTAAAATTAGGTGCCATATTTAGGTAATATTTACCTGTTTGGCAACTAAAAATCGTCTTTATAGTGGAATATCCAACTAGGTAGATTTGGTTAAAAATTCTACGTAATTTTATGCCTCCATAGTAACCTATTTGGCCGCTTTTATTTACTCTCCTTTAAAGTAATATTAGGTCGAGATCGTAGCAAAATTCTACCTGTTTTTCTACCTAATTTCAACCAAATAGTCGAATACTCATTTAGTTGACCTATAAGTCATCTTGAAGAAATATTTATTAACTTTGTTGTAGCAATTACCTGAAAAATCTACCACAAAGTAAATTCGACTAAAAACCACCAATTTAAAAAGAGTCATACATGACCTATTTGTAAAATTTATATTATTTAGGTTATTTTAACAATTAGGTTGTTCAGTTACTGTCTTCGTCATTATTCTTAAGAATTTCAGCAATTTTAAAAAAACCATTACAGTCGTAATCTTAATTTACGTGTGGTGTAGATAGAGCTTTAAATGAGTGCGAAAAATAATTAATAAAATGAGTTCGATAAATAATAAATCATATCGTTATACTTCCGATTTTTATCGTAAAGTGACACGTCTAAAATCTCAAGTGCAGAACAACGTGACCTAAAAATGTTATATTTACCTATAGGTAAATTTTTTATAAAACCTATAAGTTATTATTTCTTTAAATAGGTAAAGTTAACTAATATGTCGTGAAATTGAAGTTAATTCAACTTAGTAATAAGGTATTTGTAAAATACGTAGATTTCCTTAGTCATAATAACTTTTAGGTCGAATTCGCACAATACGCCATATTTTCTTAACGTAATTGAAGTACGATTCCAAATTTTAAATTTTTAAAGTGATCATAACTAAAACATACGAATGAAAATACCGAAAAACGAAACATTATTGATTTTCTAAAGTGATACACAACAAACGTAACATAGTTTTAGCTCATATTATTATTTTTTTACACGATCATATTTTTTTTATATATTTTTTAATTAGAGGGTATTTTGGAAGGGCATTGTTATTTTTCTAAGTAGAACTGTTAACATGCACGACAAAATTTTCTTCGTATTAATTTCAACCAGCGTGAACTGTATATTCACTGCAATTACATTACATACATTTTTGGCACCAACATTTATTTATTTTCAATTTTTCATGTGAATTAGGTATATGTTTTAGTTGTGTTGGTGACTTCTTACAATATTTCTACTTATATATAGATAAAAATGCCAAATAAGTATAAAATTTCTTTTCGTACACTTGGAGGCATACGTCATCTGCAAATATTTTTGTAGTTTCTACCTAAACTTAGTTAAATCAACGTCGAATTAACGTTATACTGACGTCAAATTTCCCTAGAGAGGTATTACTAACCAAACGTACTGGGCTACTACAATGTGGATTTAGATGTAATTCTACCTATTTTGGTAAATAAAACCAAATTTCGACGTCGTCTTATTCTCCACTTATGTCGAATCCACGTCGAGCCAACGTAAATTTTACTTAATTATGGTTAAATCTAATTTTGCGACCAAATTTATTATATATAATTTAGGTAGTATCGACGTCAAATTACACCAAAATGTTTGCTGGGGGGGTGATAGTGGTATTCGCTTGCTTCCCCCGTCGAGAATCAGAGCTGTTTCTCTTTTGTAGAAGCTATGGACTACCAAATGTCTACATAATAGAAATTTGAAACCGAATAAATACAGTTAAAATCGTCAATATTCCCTAAAGTGTTGGTCGAATAATACCGTTTTAAGTCACCTGTATTTGGACTATTGTGTCTAGCAAAATAATATTGCGGGGAGGATATTAAGCGTCATTCTTACAAAGGCAACAGTCATATTTTTTTTGCTCTCATGAGTGCAGAGTGATACCGTTCACCGCCGTTCATGAATTGTCCATATTTGATTACTGAGAGTAACTTATTAACTTTTAATTTCTAAAACCTATAGTTCGAATCATATTTAATTTTACTATTGTAGACTTTTTGTCTTATGGCTAAAACCTGTTTTCATTAATAGGAAAGAATTTGTGCTAAGGGTGTTAGTGCCCACCGTTATATTTTTTTAAAGGAAATTATTATTTTTATTTTCTCATGAGTATAGTATAGGTCATAGTTAATTTTACCGTTATAGCACTTTTCTGTTAATACCGAGACCGTCTATTTTATCAACAATACATATATTCTGCATTTATTTTATTACCGTTATTAAATATATATATATATATATATATATATATATATATATATATATATATATATATATATATATATATATACCGATTTCACCCTCGTTCCATTTGTTTTATTTTAATTATTACTTATTTATTTTATTTTGTAAATATATTTTTGATTATAATTCCTGAGTTTAATTTTGAATTACTCCTTTACTTTTTCCGTTTTCAGAGCTTAGTTACTAATAGGTAAAAGTGCAGTAAAAAATTTTATTTACTTTTTTGCCCCAGTGTAGGTCAACTAAACAGTGAAGGTCTGGTCGTTTTATTTATTTTTTTTGTTTGTACCTGGACTCCACTGAGTCTGCTGAGGGTGTACTCTAAGTGCACCCCAGGGCCGCAAAGTAGACTGCGTTACTAAAACTGGCGCCTGAGCAACCCTTGTTCGAAGAACAGCCTAGCGCCACCCCAACCCCTTTTCTTTATTTTTAGAGACGAAGAAAAGGGTCTCACACCATTACTGAACCCATCTCAACAAATTTTGAAAGCAATTTCATTACGTACTTATGGCGAACGCTACGTTCAGGATGGTTTCGGTTAAATATCCTTTCAGCCGCTCGGGCACCATTTTGATTTTGATAATACAGGCTAACCAGCTCAACACGTTCTTGTAATGTGTACACCATAATTTAATTTTAAAATTGTAAGCAAATCAGCAAAGTAGTAACTCAACAGATTGATTTTTAATACATGAAATGATCGAAGAAACGTGATAAACACCTTCTAAGAAAATGTTTTGATTTTTTTTTTATTTATTAGTTCGAGAGAATGTATTATTGTATAGAAGTCAATGGAGAACAATTTGAACATTTGATTTAAAAAAGCAGTTTTGATTTTTTGATTGTAAGCATGACAAAACAATTAATTTTTTTAAAAATGTGATTTTTTCATACACCGTTGTAAAGAGACTTCTATCCACATACTCGCAACAGTTAAGCAGTGATGTCTCCGGTCACGTCGTGGATGGGTGACCGCTGGGAGGTTCCACCATGGGCCGTGTCACCATGGGATTTATCCGACTAGCGTTTAACCATCGACGACGTGGAATGAATGAGGGTGTGAATGGGAAAGTAGTAGGACCTTCAAATGGTGGTATAATAAGCCGCAGGCAGCAGTACTGCCAGACTACAGACGGATTAGGGTGTAGCACGGGAGGTCTGAAGGGTGTAAAAAAAACTTCTAAGACCTTACAAATGAAGTATCACTCAACCCCTCTTCCCTATTCAATTTTGAGGGGTTGCTCGTTCAAGCCTCAAATAAACGTCAAAAGATGTCCCCCAAAGAAAATCATCTGACGTGTTTCGGGAAATTTTTCCAATTACTATGGGGTAAGAAATATACGGGGTGGCTCGTCTTAGATAGAACACCCTTAGCCCAATCGGATTAGGTGAAGAACAGGCTTTAAATCAAGATGGCGGAGGTAACGACAACTTTGGAATCCCAACTTTTTGAATTTAGACTACCAGAGACCCCCTCCAACGAATTCCGAAGGAAAATTGCTGCTTCGAATTTTTCAGAATCTAAAATACTAATCCGATTGGGCTACCTGTATTAATAAGGTAATCAATCGATCGTTTTATAGTATCTAATTATCGATAAGAGTAGGCGATTATCAAAATAAATAATCGATTATCAATTATTTTCCACTAATCAATCATTATTTTTAATTAATCGAATATTTTTGATTAATCGATTATTTTTTATTAGTTAATCGATTTTTTCCATTATTCAGTTAATCGATTATTCAATTTTAAACTTAACTTTACTCCATCCTGGGGAGAGCTGATTAGATTTTGATCATAGTCGGAACATCTATGAGGGTACTTTATAGGGGGCCGTTTTTCTACTTGATGAAATATGTTATTTACGCTTGGAGAAGAAAATTCTTCAAATAAAAGTTGATTGAGATGTCATTCTCTATAATTCTTGTCCTATACATGGTTCCCCTAAAATTGATCGCATTCAAAATATTTGGAGAAAAGTGCAAATTTTGAAGATAACTTAAAAACAGATAAAGAGAAAAACACCAAATTTTAAACTTAAGCTTTAATCCATGCTGCGGTCAGCGTATTAAATTTTGGGCATAGTCGAAGCATCTGGGGGTACTTTATTGGAAATCGTTTCTTTACTTTAAGGAATATCTGTTATTTACGATTGAAGAAGACAATTCTTCAAATAAAATTTGTTTGCGATTTTATTCTGTATAATTTTTGTTCCAAACATGATTTCTTTAAAATGGATCGTAATGGAAAAATTTGAGGAAAAGTGTAAAATTTTAATTTTTGTTGTCAAAAAAATATTTCGAGTAAGATGTGCATATAAAATATATGTATTTAGTTCATCCTCTAAACATTTACAGGGATGATACAATAGGTCATACAAAATAACTAAAAAACCTGTAATAACTAGACATGAAAGTCATTTGTTGGACACAACAGATTTTTAATAAGAAAAATAACACAGATTCATATAAAATATTTATTACTACATCAGCGGCAGCGAACTAAATGACTTTTTTGTTTCGTTTTGAAATAATGAGCTTCTATCATTTGAAACTCTGTTTAATTATCATAATTCTTAAAATATTTAGTCTATTGTAAATTTTTTTTGTGAGCATCATAAGGTAATAATTCCAAATAGAATATTCGGAGTTTGTTTCGTTTAGTTATTTCTTCTCCTTGTCTTAGCTATACCTTGTAGGGAAAGTGTCGGCTTTAGATTCCCATTATATCCAATCCTTGGAGGCATTTTCATTTCTATTGATTTCTCTTTTTCCAAACTACTGATATATAACAAATACCGATTTAATCATCTGTAATTACATCATCTACTATTAAATCATCTGGTTTTCCCCAAATTTTAATTGATCCTACTGAAGCGGTCATAACAATGTCTTTTCTAGGATGGACATTTAACGTATTTAAAACCTTGTTTGGAGTGTGTATAAACTTTTTAACTACTTCAGAACTAACCAAGTCCCAACACCATAGTTCACCTGTTAACGATCCTGATAAAATAAAATTGTCATTCGTGATTATCGCACTTTCTACATTCATGTCCTGTGTTTGATGTCCTGTATATCTAGAATAGAAAAATCATATTTACTAGCACTCTGCTATTAGATTAAAAAAAATACAAACACATTTTGATTAGGGTGAACCGTCCGGTTATTGACCACGTCCAAGTAAATGACCAATATTTACTGATTTATTAAGAATTTTTAATAACCTAAGGCATCATATTATACAGCAAATTGATCCTCACCTAATTCTCAAATTTTTTTATACATTTGACAAAACTGCTTATAATCGACAATTTACAAATGTCAGTTAAAAGTGCATGTTTTTTTTTCCTTCTCAAGTAACCACAAGTAATTAAAGTAAGTAGAGCTAAGTGTTTTTTATTTTTTAACAAATATGTATTGGAGTTGTAAAACTAATATGTTATTTGGACTAAACTGCATGAAACAAAATCAAATTTAGTATTTTTTAGGCTGTAATACTAATATAACCTCAAAAAGCATTTATTTTTTAAATGGTCAATAATAGGTAATGCTAAAGCTGAAAAATTCAGTGAATGACCGAATGTGGTCATTCACTGGGTTGGCGGGAATTTTAAAATAATTTGTTTTGAGAATGTACTTCAATCACTATATGGATGCTTCTTTATGCAAGCATTGTAAATAATGTGGGAATCGACTGGCCTATAGATGACCACTCTTATTATCAAATGCTCTTCTGGTCATTCACTGGATATTTAGCCTAGTCAATGACTTTTTGCTGTTTATGTATTAAAATATTATTTGTGCAATAAAGCTATTGTGTAACATTTATTTTCAGATGACAGAAGTCCAAGAAGGAAGAATTAGTGCTACTAAAGCCAGTAAACAATTTAAAATTCCAAAAGGCACTTCATCCAGATGCAAGTGAAAGATGTCGTACAAAAGGTAATGGAAGAAACCCAGCGTCCTAATCTATTCATCAACAACCGTCCTGGTGATAAATGGCTAAAAGGATTTTTAAAAGTAAAGTCAGATATTGGGAAAAGAAATGCTGAAATTATTTCCAAAGCTAGAGGTCACTGGGCAAGATATCAGAAAGTGGTTTCAGGATCTTAAAAGTTATTTAATAGAAGAAGATACTGTTGATGTTCTTGAAGATGCTGATCGGGTCTATAATGCTGATGAAACTGGGGTGCAATTATGCCCCAAAACAGGAACGGTGCTAGTGCCAAAACATTTTAGAAATGTTTATGATGTTGCTGTTGGAAAAGCAAATTTAGCAAATTTTTCTGCCAGTGGAAAAGTAGCTCCAACACTTATAATATATCCATACAAAAGAATACCTAGAGACATTGCTAACTCCATCCCTGATTATTTTTATATTGGTCGAAGTGATACAGTTTGGATTGTTGGTCCTACATTTTTTGACTATGTGGCGAATAATTTCTATCCATGGCTGTTAGATAATAACATAAAATTGTCTATTCTCTTTCTGCTAGATGGACATAAGTCACATATCAGTCCTGAACTAGCCACTTTTTTCCGAGAAAAAAGAATTATTTTATATTGTCTATTACCAAATGCTACACACATATTACAGCCATGTAATGTTGGTATCTTTAGACCTCTAAAAGTATCCTGGAGAAAGCAGTGTCAGAAATATAAACAAGAAACAAGAAAATCTCTAACCAAAGTATCTTTAGCACCTATTTTTGCACAAGTATTTAAAAATGCCAGTAAAATTGAAACCATACAAAACGCCTTCAGGACATGTGGCATATTTCCATTTAATGAAAATAATGTTGATTTTTCAAAATGTATGAATACCCGTCAGGCAGCACTAAAAGAAGATAACAATAATGTAGAGAGTAATCAGAGTGGAATTGATAAAACGAAATTTTTAAAAATTCTTGAAAGCGAAATTTCCCCCGAGACCTTAAAAACATACAGAGAAGGGAGAAAAGCACAAAAAGTTTTAAATAATGATAAATTATTTAAATTATGGAAAAAATATACAGAAAACCAAGACGACCCTAATGAAGAAAATGGCGAGAATTATATTGCATAAGAAGACGAAAGAGAAAATATGAAAAATAATGTTCTAATAATGATGGACACAGAAACTGATGATTATCAGGAAGTTGAAGAAAGTATAAATGTAGATTATATAAATAAAGAAAATCAAAAAAGTGCCCCGGAGATTACCCAAAAAAATAAAAATATATGTGAACAAATTGAGGAAGAAATGGAACATGTAGAAAACCAAGACAATACTCAAAATAAAAGCATCCAAACTGAAAATCAAAATGAGGAAAATGATGAGTCAAAAGAAACACAATTGGATTTAAATTTTAGCTCAAAAAAATCTCTTAAAGTCCAAGATTCCTGGATTCCAAAGTTAAAAATTGCCACTAAAAAAAGTGTTAAAGAAAAAGCCCCTTTGGCAATAACTTCCAAATATTGGAAAGAATATCATGAGAAGAAAGAAGAACAAAAAAGAATTGCTGAAGAGTTAAAAGAGCAAAGAAATTGATTGTCAAATATGAGAACAGTTATTTTCCCGGTGTTGTTATACGGAAACAAAAAGGAGAATAAGAAGTGCAACTCATGTGTAAAAGTGCACAAAATTGGAAATGGCCAGAAAAAAATTACCAAATATGGTATAAAGAGGAGGATGTCATTAAAAATATTGAACCACCAATGCTGATATGTAGTCGAGGAAATGTGTATTCAGTTCCTGAAATGGAAAAGTATGAAACACTGCTTTAATTTTTTAAACTAAGTATTTATGTTTTCTTTTAGACAATAAAGTAGTTTTGTAGTCATTTACTGGTATTTTATTTGGTCAATTACTCAAAGGAACTGGTCATTTACTAGGATTTTATGCATTATATCTTAAAAATTATCGAATATTGTAAACAAATAAACATGTTTACATTTTTGTGTTAAAAAAGTTAAATTAGTAAATAAATTCATCCAGCTATTCCTTGCTTTTTCTTTTAAAAACAAAACGAACATTTTTACAAATATGTATTGTTGCCTAAAGTCGTCATTAACTGGATGGTACACCCTAGGTAGTATACTTAATTAGTTCTCGATTTTGTTTACAGAAAATATTTGGAATGGCATTTTAGACAAAGTCAATGCCTGGAGATCACCGCAAAGAAAAATTGAATTGTGATTGATTGCCGGGTAGTGTTTTAAAAATCTAATAATAGTTTTTGCCAAGCATAACATGTTAAATATCATGTTCTGAATACAAACAAAATCCTTCCTAAGTATATTATGCTACAAATATGCTTAAAGTATGTCTATAGACACTAGATAATATAATGTTTAACCACCTGGGACATAGTTCTATTTTTATTATTAGATCCAATAGATCTTAACGTGAAAGATCAACATTAATTGTGACAACATGAAGAAGTATAGTTGCAAAAAGATACAATTTTTTAAATCCAAGATGGAACTTTATATGTAAAAGTTTGAATAGCACTTTTTAATAGCTTTTTATAAACAAGTTTTTCGAATAACATTTTTCTATATTTTGTAAAATTTGTAAAATTCACATTATTTAACTTCCCTCATATTTGGTGATTTTCGATCATTTTTAAGGATATTAGGTAAGTTAAAATTATGTTTTAGATGAAGCACAAAACTTTTAAATAATAAAATCACTTGAAAGATTGGAAAATATAACTGCTAAAGTTAATAAATAGGTAATATTGTATACTTACTCTCCTAACATTTCTCCTGAAGTTTTATCAAATAATCTAACTGTATCATCGGCTGATCCAACTAAAATACACTGTCCATCATGTGAAAAATATACCGAAATTACTGGAGCTAAAAAAATTACACACATTTATTATTTAAGTTGTTCTTCGAGTTACAGTGCATGGAAGAAAAAGTAGATCATAAGTATTTCAATTTTAAAATTTACAAGTAAACGTAGTGCTGTTCGTTTATATAAGCCAGCTAGCCCTGCTGATTTTAATGTTGATATAAGAATTTTAATTGCGACCAATAGTTATTTTAATAATAGTTATAAGTTAATAATAGTATTTAATAATAGTTATAAGTTACAATGAGTTACAATAATAAATAAGTTACAATAATGGAAACCAACTATATAATAACAAGCACCTAGGTGAGAACACCTGCATGTGCAGACAAAAATTAAATTTTATTTTAATTATATTTAATGAATTTAGAGGTGGAATTTTTAATTGATTAATATTTGATAGTATTATTTTTATTTGTTTGCCTTTTTTAATAAAAATTTTAACTTTATTAATAATTTTCATATTAGTATGAATTTTATAAAGAAAATAAAAATAAAACTTGAACAATTTGTGCAAGAAACAGAAAAAAAAACTATTTAAAAAAATCCATGTATTAAGTCCCTTATTCTTGGAATATTCTGATAAACTTTGCATTATTTTGGAAAATGTATATTTTGCTAACTATATGTAATGATTCCAACTGTCAGAACTAGCCCGAACAGGTATGGTGCAGACAAGGGCATTTCCAGACCCTTCAACTACAAGATTATCCTATATTGTATTGTTTTTACAACTTCTTTAATTTTAATAGTTTAATAAGTTACAATGAGTTACAATAAAGTACAATAATGGAAACCAATTATATAATAACAAGCACCTAGGTGAGAACACCTGTAGGTATGTGCTGACAAAAATTAAAATTTTATTTTATATAATAATATAAAAAACTTGAACAATTTATGCAAGAAACAGAAAGAAAACTATTTAAAAGAAATCAATGTTTTAAGTCTGTTATTCTTGGAATATTCTGATAAACTTTGCATTATTTTTTAAAATGTATATTTTGCTAACTTTACAGATTTTTTTATATTTGTTTAATAATTTTATATGAAGAGGTAGAGCGTTGTAGAACTTTGTCCCTAGATAATTTACACTGTTTTTAAAAAACTCACAGTTCTAGTGTTATGTCTATGTTCTAAAGGGTTTTTTAAAAATTCATTTTTTTGTATATAACAACACCCTGCGTGAATATATAAACATCTAACATTGCTAATTTTGTCATTATATAAAGTTATGGTGGGACACAATCTATCTCTTTTATATATCAACTTCAAGATTTTGTTTTGAATAACATTTAATTGATTTAATGTAGTTCCATACAGGCCTCCCCATACTAAGATTCCATACTGTAGTATAGATTCTACTAGACTGTAGTATAATGTTATTAGTAGATCCTGGTTGAGAAATTGTTTTAGAAGATAAAATTTATAAATCAGAAATCTAAGTTTTTTTGCTATATATATTATATGGCAGTCCCATTTTAAGTGCTGGTCTATAATAATATCTAAATATTTGGATGTTTTTGTTTCCTGTACGTCTACATTTTGACATGTTAAGCTTCTAAATTGAGGTCGATCAGCCACTGTCTTTGAAAAAGCAATGTAGTTTGTTTTGTTAACATTCAAAGACAATTTAAAAACATCCAGCCAGTTTTTGACATGTTCCATTCCAGCTATAGTAGGTGTATTGACGGTTTCCCAATCTTTATCACTGAAGACTAGCACTGTATCATCAGCATATGATACAACTTTACCTTGAATATCAATCTCAGTTAAGCTCTTAATGTATAAATTAAATAGTATAGGTCCCAGAACAGTCCCTTGAGGCACTCCGATTTGTATATTTTCAGGGTTACTCACATTGTCTCTGACCTTTACCTTCTGTTGTCTGTGTGTCAAATAATTTTCAAAACCCTTCGACATGATGCCCCTCACACCATTCTGTTCAAGAACATTTAAGAGCTTCTGATGTGGCACCATGTCAAATGCTTTTGCTAGATCTAGAAATATAGCTATACACTTGTGACCAGTATTCATTTCCTCAGTAACATATGAAATCAATTCATGCATAGCATCTCCTGAGTTAAGACCCTCAGTAAAGCCATATTGGTGTTTAGGAAGTAAGTCATTAGTTTTTAAAAAATCTGTCAGTCTATCTTTCACACATTTCTCAAATATTTTTGGCCACATTACTAATTAAACTAATAGGTATATAGTTAGTTATTAATTTTGGATTACCAGCTTTATAAATAGGTGTTATAATTGAAGTTTTAAATTGTTTAGGTACGATTCCAGTATTAAAAATACAATTAATTATATGCATTAAAGGTTCCAGTAAATACGGATGTAGTTGTTTCAGGTGTTTTCCTGTTAGACAATCAAATCCCAGGGCACTTTTGTTTTTTAAACTATTTATGTTTTATAATTTTGTTTTCGCATATCAGTTTCAGAAACATTGATTTTTCATTGACACAGGAAAATCCACAATACATTCAGGGATATTTGTGAACATATTAGTGCCAATAGTCGAAAAGTAGTTATTGCAGTAATTCACCATTTCATTATCATTTTCAAATTCCTCATTATGTTGGTTAACAATCTGTAAATTGCTATTATTTTTTTTATGATTTTCATAAGTTGCTTCAGAGATTAATTGATAAGTTTTTTCAGATAATTTTTGTTTTGGTTTATTTTATTGTTATAATAGTCATTTTTAGTTTTTGATATTAGTTTGTTTAAATTATTTCTAAATGTTTTATAGTGAGTTTGTTTGTTAATAGTATAGTTTTTTGTAGATCTTTTTTAAGTTTATCCCTAGTTTTAATAGAATTAATTAAACCATTTGTTATCCACGGCTTTATTTTTTTATGGATTTTAATTTTAATATTTTGAGTGGTTTGACATGTTTCAATGATATTAAGATACGTGTCATAAAAAAGTTGTGTTGCAATTTCTGGATTATTTTCATTGGAAACACTTTCCCAGTTTACAGTTTCGAATTTTTGTTTTAATTTATCAGTACTTATCGATTTTAGTTATAGTTTTATATGTATTGTAGGAACTTGTGTAGTTTTTGGCAGATTGTGAGATATTTATCATAATAAGATCATGATCAGTCATATAATATATATAATATAATTCGTAATTTATATAAACATTTACCTCCAACAAAATCTACATCACATTTGCCATTTCTCAAGTCATATCTCCTAAAAGAACAATCTACAGACCCTGTGAGAATTTCATTATCAGTTACTTGTAATGAAGTAATACAATCCTTGGCATCTTTTAAAGTTTGTATGGGAACTTGAGACCTGGATTTTAAATCCCAACACATGACTGTATTGTCTAAACTACCTAAAATAAAAAGATTATTTTTTTTTCACTTAGCTAACA